CACCGGACATCCGGCGCGCTCCGACGCACACGTCACCACCTGGTGGTCCCGTCACCGGCGGCGCCGCCAGAGCCCCAGCCCTGCGTCACCAGCCTCCTTATCCCGCCCGTCCTCGCACGGCCACGTCACCGATGCCAGCTCGCGGGGTGGATGCGTCACGCCGCCCCGCCGGCGCGCCGGGTTAGGCAGTCGGGCCCCGGGTGCGTGCGCCCGCCGTCGACGCCTCGGTGCGGGCTCCACCCGGCGTGGCGCCAGCCCGGAGGACGCTGGCGGCCACGCCTCGCTCACCCGCGGCGCAGTGACGGACAGTGCATGCTACCGAACTACGTGTTCGCGGTCGCGTGACGTCAACGTGGTGTCCAAACTTGTAGAGTGTGGTCGCTGGGAACCGGGTCGTAGGGAATGGAAATGATCTGGTACCCGGAACTTACCAGGCGCCTTCTCTTTCGCAGATTCCAAATCAGTAATACAGATCACATCATCGACGTGAACAAGGGCAACAACTTGTTCGAGTACGATCAAGTGACCATCATCTGCCCGGTCTACAATGAGTGGACCAAAGAGGAAGACACCGAGAAATACATCATCTACAACGTGAGTGCAGATTGGACGCACCAGCCGCGCTGCGGGGTGGAATCAGACGGCGCTCCAGTGTGGTCTCCCCGCGGGCAACGCGATGCACGCGCGTTTGCCCGGCGCTGAAGCCGGCACCGGCACCGGCTAACGATGTCCCCATCTAATGATGTTAAAGGGCGGCCCACTAATTGCAGGTCTATTCGGTGTCTTTCCGATGATTTATTGAGGCGATTTGTTGCAGGACTCACACGTAAATCATGTGCAGCCGGCTGTTAGTCGTTACGGTAGTCGGATGGACTGGATCAGCCGCGTAACGGGCGTCATCCATCGCTACAGGATAGCGTCTAGAATTCGTGACCGTGTTGCAATGAAGCAAAGGGAGCTTGATGCGCAGGAAAAATGTCTCTGCTGTCGCTGGACACCAAACAAAAATGGCTGCCCCGCCGACTGCGACGCCCGAGGACAAATCCCGAAGTCCGTGGTTGGAACAACGCCATTCGTGGTCACAGCCTGTGTTGCTCAATCCTTGTGTCATGCTTCGCTTTCGCGCCGCCGTCCAACACGAACGCAAGCAGCAGGACATCCGGCGCTTACTGGGTTTTCGGCCTCGCTGCACCACTGACTGCGATGGAGCGGGGTCCGTGCTGACAAACCGCATAGTTGTCAGCACCGTTCATCGGCATGCCGCGCCTACACGGACCTGGCGCGTGACTTAGCCGAGACCGCTACTCCCACGCTCAGCTCGTCCCCGTCTCTCGCGACAGGCCGACATCTCCCGGAGATCGACAGAAAGAATCGGACACACCGCTTGTACGCCGACACTGGATTATGTTTGCTCCCTCAGAGGACTGGTTTGGTGGTGGTGACGTCTCCGTCCGCGCACAGCCCTTCAAGCCAGCCAAATTATTGAACTCAAGCTGAAAAATACGCGGCCCATGTCCCACCCACAGAGTCCAGCAGCTGAGTGCGTCATAAAGCCCCAACGACAAGACGAGCCCAGTGTCCGCGGTAATGGCCGCCCAGTGTGACAGACATTGCGGAATGGACTCCGGCTTCGAATATCAAAAGTTAAGGCATGACATCATGCATCCCAGGGAACTAATTCCCGATAGCTCTGGTTTGAAAATGCGATTGGCATTCCGCGCGATAGCTGACAAAAGAATGGCGTAAACCAAAGATGTTTCATTTTCGGACCACAACTGGTCTTTAGAAGCATGGTTGTTGTGTTGATGAGTTAAGACAAGCCAATCTTTCCCAGAAATCAAGAATGCTTGGGTTGTTTACGCCACGGACGTAATCTACAGATCGCCGTCTGTGACTCGTTTTAAAGCTCTAGCAGTGCTGCAAGCCGAGTCCCCAGCACACCGAAGCTACAGCCGGGCTTCCGCGTACCAGCACCCGGCCTGGCGCTACGGACGGGCGCGTCCAGGCCCGACGGGCGGGGTCCGCCGCCAGCCGACGCACCCGTCGGAATGCACCGCCACCCGAAATGGCCGGCCAGGCCGGTGTTATTACGCGAAAAAGGGCGTCCTCGTAAGCTCCAGCCCGGGGATGAGCCGTAATTGGTGGATCGGCGTAAGCGCGGCCGGAAGGGCCCGGGGCGCGACCACGGAGTCCGCGCCGGCCGGCTGGCCGCGGGCCGCTCCGAGATGAATGGTCTGTCACCGCCGGCTGTCGGCGCTGCATAAGGCCCGGACGCCCGGGACTCCGCGTCCGCTGGCCGACGCTGCAGCGGCCATGACGCTGGCAGATCGCATCATGACGGATGGTCTGCGACCGTCGGTGTCGCCGCCGGCGGCGGGACGAGCTCCTGCCCGACCTCGGCTGGCCACGTACCTTACCCTACGTGTGTGTAAGGCGAGAGAGAGAGAGAGAAGAGAGAGAGAGAGGAGAGAGAGAGAGAGAGAGAGAGAGAGAGAGAGAGAGAAGATAGAGAGAGAGAGAGAGAGAGAGAGAGAGAGAGAGAAGAGAGAGAAGAGAAGAGAGAGAGAGAGAGGAGAGAGAGAGGAGAGAGAGAGAGAGAGAGAGAGAGAGAGAGAGAGAGAGAGAGAGAGAGAGAGAGAGAGAGAGAGAGAGAGAGAGAGAGAGAGAGAAGAGATGAGAGGCGAGAGAGAGAGAGAGAGAGAGACGGGCTTATGCCGGTACGCAGACCCGGCCTGCGCACACTGAGTGTCGCCGAAGCGTGTATGTTCCTCACCGCGCCTGGCTGTCAGGAGCCCGAGCCCTGCCGGCTGTAGATGTTCCACCGGTTGCCCAGCGCAGTGCTACCCCCGTCCGTCTCCGTCAGCTCTCCGGCCGAGACCGGGGCATTAGGCTTTAGGAGGCTGTATTCCCGATCGGCCTGCGTCACGTTTAAATCGCCGTTGCATGCGGCCCGGCCGTAAGCGAGACGGTAAGTGGCGGCTGGAGCCGCTCTCCCCCCCCCCCCCCCCCCCCCTCCGACCTCCGCTCCCCTCTGCCCGGTGATCCCTGGCCCAACCTGCATCCTTCTCTGTCGGAGAAGATCGCCATATCACCGCCTCCATCCTGCAATACTCTGCTCATCCTACCAAGGGATCGCAATCCGCCCTTACTTCTCGGTACCTGACGATCTGTGGCGCCGACCTTCGCTTATCCCTCTGAACGGCCTCCACCCCACCCCCTCGGCGACCTCCACCCCACCCCCGTCTTCCTACCCGGTAACCCCTGCCCCTCCCCGGCTCCTCTCCGCAGTGCCTGCCGCTCGGCGACCGGCGAACCGCGCTGCGCGGATCATCACCGACAGCCGGTGGGCCGCCCAGACTTTCCATTCGGACTGATACCGAGCGCCATGCGCCTCCGATGACGAGATCTTCACGCTCGGTCGGCACACAATGCGTTTTCTCCCGCCCGTCTGATGTTGTCAGCTGCAGGTGCGCCTGAATAGGTCGTAATCGCCGAGCACGGCGCGAATCTGGCCGCTCCGACTGACGTGCGCATCCTTCCCGCTTCCCTTCGCTCCATTCGCCCCGCTGTCTCAGCGCGCGTGCCGCGCTGCGTGGCCGGCGCCTGGTCTGTTTCTCCGCACTTTCACGAGCCAGCTCAATGCGGACGGCATCACGAACCTGAGCGCAAACCCACGCCGTCCGGCACCGCCAGGCGTCTCTCCGGTCGCCACCGAGCCCCAGTCCGCCGATAGCCCAGTGCACGGCGCTCAGGCCGCTGTTGGCCGTCGGTCGTGCATATCACTCTGCGTCTGCAGCTGCTGCGTCGCTGCCGACGTTTCGTCGCGATCGGCAGACGTCCGATGGCGGTGGTGGCGAGGTCTCGCCAGGCGGTGGCGAGGCGGTGGCGAGGCGGTGATGGCGCTTCGAGCAGCACCGCTGCCTACTCGACGCGCCACCCTCAATCCTTGCGCCCGACCCGTGCGTTCCGGTAACACCGGCGTGCTGATCGCCAGCGTCGTTCAGTCCTTTCTAACGGCGGCATAAAAAGAGGGTAATGCAGCGGCCTGCGGCGCGATTGCCGCGGCGCCATCAGACGTCGCCGCCGGCGGCCGGCTGACCTGCTTGGCGTCGGCTCATTAGGAGCGGCGCCCGCGTGCCCGGCGCCGGAACCGAGCGCGCCGCGGAGGCACCGGCCCGCGGTGCCGCGGAGTCGGCCAAGAACCACCAGGAACTCGGAGCGGCCTGCCGTGACACTTAAGCCGCTTTATCTGGTAGCTGCTGGGGCGCTGTGTGTCACGAGACCCTTTGTTCGCCGATGTGTGCCTGTCCGCGTCTGCATAGTCGCCGCGGCCTCGGCCACTAGATATGGCCATAGAATTTTGCAGGCGGATTGTCAGCATGTCAACACGAAGGTGAACGCCCCTCCGCTACTGGTGGGCGGCGATGCTGCTGCTACTGCTGTCGGCCGTTTTCCCCCGCCTCCGAGCTCGCGTTGATCCCCGTCTCCGCCGTTTCAGGTCTCCAAGGAGGAGTACGACACGTGTCGCATCACGGATCCCAACCCGCGCATCATCGCCGTCTGCGACAAGCCGTACAAGTTGATGTTCTTCACCATCACGTTCCGGTCGTTCACGCCGCAGCCGGGCGGCCTGGAGTTCCGGCCCGGCCAGGACTACTTCTTCATCTGTAAGTGAGCGCGACGCGCTGTCGCGTGTCGGTGCGGCGTAACATGCCGTAGCGCGCCGCTCACGCAGCGCAGAGCATGGCGAACCGAGCCGCTGCCGCCTCTCGGTCGCTGGCGCCGCGTAACGATACGATTCGCCAGAAACGCATTACCAGCGCGGAGTTACGACCGTACCCGTCTCTTTTCAAGCTGACCTGGTCGGAGCGGAGGGTAACTATGAGCCTTGCATGCCGACGGGAATGCTCTCCTGCACGGGTCGGCCGGCGGGGCCTGCTGTCGTCGCTTCTGCTGCACAGAGGCCCTAAACTCGTGTGCCGTCGTCGTGTGTCACCCGCCGACCAGTTTCGTGCCTTGTACTCTGCCGCCGCCGTCGCCCCCGTGCTCTGTCGCCGCTCTCTCCCGCATTCTCGCGACGCCGTCCCACTGCGACTCGTGCTCACATGCCTGTCTACTTTGTGTTCCTGTCCGTCCGGTCGGCTTGCGCGCTCCTTCGGCTGCCGGTCCCCGCGCGCGCGGCAGTCGCTGCCTCGATTGCCGCCACGTGCCCTGCATTCGCGCCTGTCCTCCGTCGCCGCGGGTCCGCCTCTTTGTATGCGGTCGGCCGGCGTAATGGCCGGGACGGGATCGGACCATCGCCGCGTCCGCCTGTTTTTCCGCCGCGCCTGCATGTCCGCGTGTGTGCGCTGCGCTCGGCAGCCGTCAACGTCCGCTGGTGGCGCGTTCGCCGCCAGTTCGGGCCATTGTATTCAAATGGGCCCACTGTTGGGATGCGGTGCCACGCGCGCCGATCGGGAGCTGACCGTCTGCTCTCAGACCCGGCGGACCCCCCTGACGGAGCGCCGCCACCGGACGCCCAGGGCGGGCCTTCACCGGGCGTGACCGCGCGGGTCGTGCTGGCGGGTGTCACAGAACGTCAGGGGTGTATGTCACAGGCGGCCGTACCCACCTGTGTCTCCGGGAGTCGGTGGGGTGAGATTATCTGGCTTATACCGTCAACTCAGGTAGCAGCTGGACTTCTGACCCATGGCAAAACCCCGTTACATCACGTTCTGGGAAAGAGCATCATTCCACGGCGTGTTTTCACGGAGGCGGCAGGCTCACTCGCACTGTTCGTCGTGAGCTGTCCCAGTGCTCGACGTGACCCGTCTGACCTCGCTGTGCCGTTTCAGCGACCTCTGCACGCGGGGACATGCTGAGGAGGATCGGCGGCCGCTGCTCGACGCACAACATGAAGGTCGTCTTCAAGGTTTGCTGCAACGGCACCGGCAGCAACCGCGTCGACACACGTAAGCAGCTTACTGCGCCCTCGGCGCATTCGGCGAAAAATGCCGGCCGCTCACTTCCACCGTTCGTGATTGCAAAGCAAACAAGCCACTTACCCAAGGGCGGGCTGGCGGTCGCTTTTTCTTCTTTCGTGATGCGCGGCGCGCGGTAAACCGGCACAGAACCATATTTACCGGCGTCTGCTGACGCCAACCGGCTCCAGCCCAAAGTGGTTGGGCGAGCCCGCATGCAAGGGACGCGCCGGAGCCGGGCGGCACGCGGCGACGCGCCGATAGAATCGGCAAGCCCTTACCCCTACGCCCGCGCGGGGACCGGCCGCAGCCTGATGTCACGCGGCCGCTGTCCGGCCGCGGCCGTGGGAGGGCCGCTGCAAAGGTGCGGACGTCCCGGCCGTCATCCCATGACACGCTTTGACAGCGCGCTGGCTGTGCGTGGGCCCGGAGGGCCGCCGCGGCCCCCGCCGGCGCCAGGCGACGAGCCGTGGGCGCCGCCGACTGACGACCGCCGTCCGCCCTCAGCGCTGCTGCCCGGGAACGCGCCGGCGCCCGAGGCGCCGCCGGCCACCGCCTCGCCCGACTGGATGCCGGCGCCCACCACGCCCGCCAGCTCGGCGCGCCCCAGCACGCGCCAGTCGTACAAGGACCTCTACGACCTACACGACCTGCATGTGCCCTCCATCAACGTCAAGGCGGCCACCGAGAAAACAGGTGCGTGCCTTTGGCGCAGGCGCGGAGGTTGGGGAAGTTCGTGTGAAAAGAGCCTCCCACTGTATGGTGTGGTGTCTTTTACGTTTTGACGAAGAGGTAGATCAGTTTGTGACGGGACTTTGCGACAGTTCGGGTCTTTCGAAAATTGCGCACATGATTGCGAACTGTAGAACTATCGCACCGCAAGGGCGTGCGGTAAGTACTTGCGTGAGATGTGTGGTGTATTGGGTGTCAGCATCCACTACGAACTGATTTTGTGTTTGTCTTCCAGATGAAAAGGGCAAGAAGAAACATCCGAACGACGATATTGCGAAAAACCAAGGACTCACTTCCCGAGCCTCGCGCGTCGTGAGACATAGAGACTCGTACACCTCGCTGGGCTACAGTATAGCCAGCTTCCTATTACTGAGGTTCATCACGCGGTGAGCTGCCGCAGGACAATAGCTCGTGTAAATGCGTGTACAGCAGAGTGCGTGGGCTCGTGATTGTGCCATCTGTGAGCGAAAAAACAAGCTGCGATGCGTGTGCGCCGCGCGTCGTGGCGCTGCTGTCGCTGTGGAGACGCCGGGAGAAGCTTTACAATGTGATGGAAGATATTTTACCGGTCATATCTGTTTGTGACGCTGATCAATGTGATAGCCCTGCTGTGGCGGGCCAACCTTGTGTAAAACCTGTACATAAGTCATAGGAGTGTAGCATCGCATTTCATTATTTTACATTGGCAGTCTGTGTCCTGATTGCTTTCACTTCGAGCTATCAGATCTTTTATGAGACGTACATTAAACAATCGATGGTAGTTCCTTGAGCTCCTGGTTGACATGCACACCGCGGGGGCAAATGCCTATAACGACAACTCCTATCTTCCCTTATAAGGGAGACCGAAATTCCTGCCAGTACGCCATAAGGGCGAGATTACGAACGTGCACCAGACGTATCAGCATTGTCGCGGCGACATGGGCCTGCCGTGGCTGTGGAGGCTGTTTTCGCCCCATGTATTCCCATCCGCCTGCGCAGCTATCCCCCGGTTCGCGGGACGCTCGGTGCAGGGAAGTTGGGGCCCTGTCGACGGCCTCCTCCCGTGGTGGCACGCCATGACCATGATCGTCTCTCTCCGTGTGGTTGACGACACGTTCCTGATGGTTTATTCGGAGCCGCAGACTGCTCTGGAAGTACCAGCCATCCTAATGCATGGCCAAATGCGAACTTACGTTTGATTATCAAAATGTTACGTGCCATATGACATTGTTCTTGTTACACCTGGCTTTGTCGAGCCCGACGCGCATGTGTATTTAAGTTCATGTGCGCTGATTTTAGTCGCGAACAGCTGACTGCTACCGAGCGGGGGTGCTCGATGACGTCATTGCGTTGACTGGATTTGGTGGAGCGCGACCGTATACTATGCTCTTTCTTGGACGATTTCGCAGTGCTTTTATATCTATTTTGTACATAAATAATAAATGCTCGCCATGATATGCACCTTGCGTTTACACAGCACGTGATGAGAACTAGCGAGCATGGACGTGCGACACAGGGCGCGATGTTGTGTAGCTGGTCCTAACTGATGGCCGTCTCACATAAAACTACGATCATGCGGTCATTGGAATCATGTTATGGGCATGACAACAGCCAACCAACGCATTTTCCCCTCGCCCTCCTCCCTTACCGCCCACGGCGTGTCCTGACACAGGAGCTGTCACCCCGCCGCCGGATCTCATCATTCAAACGGCACGCCCGCTCCCACGGCCCGCTCACGAGCTGTCCGCCTCACGTGCCGCCAAAGCGCCGCGTACCGTTTGCGTGGCGGCGGGGGGCGGCGCGCCCAAGATCGGCATACGCCGCCCGCCTGGTCACGGCGTGCAGATCGTATCGAGCCTCCTGAGACCACCTTCCTCTGGCCAGAACCGCCTCTCGAAACCGCAGGTTGATAGGTAATTCGTCAATTCGACCTCTGCTGTCTGCTGTTAAGTTGGAGGCTTCTAGTGCGCGCCATGCGAGCCTGTTCCAGACTAGCGTTCACATTGTGATTTGGTACGTAAATGTCACTGCAGCTGACTTTGCCGAGTCCATTTAACTACGAACTTTCTGCGGCACTTCAAATGTCATTGAGTCCGTTGCATTTAAGTGTCGTCTGCACACCATGACGGCGTAGATTTGGACTACGGTGCAAGTGTGATGAGGACCGGGCAGGCTGGGCTCACGTGGCTTCTCGGTGGCCTAATCAGCTCTGCAGCCGGCTCCGCTTCTTCATCGACCGCGCCAGCCCGATTTCGCGCCGTTGGCCGGCGTCGACACCTCGTGTTCATCAGCTGACATATCTGTTCCGCTTGCCCTTGGTGAAATCACCGAGAAAACTCCGGCCCGATCCCGGCCTCGATCTCACGATTCTTCGGGCACGTGACGGCACGCGAGCATCATCCGCGGATTCGAAATCTTCGGCAGGTGCATATTTCCTCACAAGCTCACACGGCCTCGAGCCCACTAAAATGTCTTGATTCCTCGCGCTTTAGGGTCTCTGCGCGCAGACTCGTTGTGGTGAGCCTGAGATTCAGGCCGCGCTCGATGGACGCGGCTCCAGCGCAGTGAGGTCCAGCCAGCATCCGTCTGGTTTGACGCGGCCAACTGAGCTGCAGAGAGCCGACAAAAATTACACGCTGTTCGCCTGTCAGCTTTGCAGAGAGCAAAGCTATGAGCCCAACCGTTTCGAGCGACGAACATGGCGCAAAGGGGTACGCGGTCCGGCCGCGCACGAGAGCGCGGCCTCCACGCCACAAAAATCGTGCCCGCATACCGTCGATGGAAAGTGAAGACATTCCTCGCTGCCGCAAGACGGGCTGGCAAAAGACTCGAGTCACCGTCGCCTGTGGCGCGGCGGCCGAGTCGCTGCGGCCTCGGCCGCCGGAGAGTGGAGAGGAGCGGTGAGTCGGGCGGGCGTCATGCGGTGACGGTGTTGTACCCGTCGCCGGCGCTGGAGGGGGCCGCGCGACCGGCGCGTCACGTCCGTGCCGCGCGGATGCCGGCGATTCCGGCTGTGAGCCGCCGGCCCCCGACACGGGAGAGGTCTGAACTGGGGGTGGCCTGACTTTAGCGAGACCTGGGCCCGGAGGGTACTGACCCCGGAGCGCATGGGTACCGGAGAGACGTCACGGTGGAGTGACAAGACCTGTGAGCTGTCTGACCCTGGAGTGTCAAGACCCGGGAGTGGCCTGACCTTGGAGTGACCTCGCCCCACGATGACCTGCATGCACAATGTTTCAGGAACACTGGAGCGGGGCTTACTCCGTGAGCTTTGCGTCCCGCGCTGAAAAAGCAGTGTCGTCGGAGAAGTCAACTGAACAGCCGTCACGACATAGCATCAGAATGGGTGGGTGTGGACTGCAAACGCAACATGCAAACTTTGGACACCTCCACGACAGGGCGCTAATCAGATTTAAACGTGGCAAGTTGCATTGCTGTATAGCTTGACGTTTTTGCTTGTATGTAGAGAAGTTTACTGACCGCAAAGCATGGTATAATTGGTACTGTTGGCAAATACCAAGCTTCTCTGAAACAGTGCACTTTTGATAACGTATCTCCAGAAAATGCAAACCCTCTCATCCACAATTATATTTGGAAATATATGGAGACAAGGCGGGTGGGCGTGGAATTTTGGCCGTAAAATTAAGCACGTCCAAGGATGTGCGAATGAAAGGATAACGCAAAAGTGAAGCGCACAGCGCACAACTCTGCATTTGTAGACCTGTTCGAACTGCCATTTTTCAGCACACATAAGCCGACATCGTTTGCAGTGACACCCATGCGGTTTAGCGCTCGTAACGATGTGGCTTTTGTTCGCGCATGAACATGCTAAGGGTTCGTAATATTACGCTGGAATCGTTGGTAATCCCGCGTTAGGTAAGATTACCGGAGAATAATGACTAGCCAGACAGCCAGCCTGCAAAGCAATTGCTGCAAAAATGCATATTTGCAGCGCTGGAATCGACAGCGTCCCGACTTCTCGCCCCCGTACATCCTTACTCTGGCCGTACACATGTCATCGAAGAAGCGGAACCGGCCTTGACTGTGCTTTGTGTCAGAACTGGAGAGACCCATGATGATGCGAATAGTTTTAAACCAAATATTTCAGTCATTGAAAATGAATGCAATGGCGAAAGAGAAGGGAAAGTGGTACAGAGGTGTAAAGGCCTTAACACAAAGGCAGAAAGGTATTCACACAAGGGTGCAAAGGCCCTCGATAAGCTAAGGACGAAACATATCTTGCTGACTTGCCCCACTGGGATTACAATTGCATGGTAAGTCTTTGAACCATTCTTATTTTTTGGCACCCCAATTCCTCCGGCCCTGCTTCCTCCTGTTCCATAGCTTGTGACAGTGACTTCCAGCCTACTATTCCCCGACTGACCATGTTCGTACTCCGGGAACTCGAAATTCATAAGGAGTGTCACCTAGCCACTTAGAAACCACACGGACTCAACCGCGTGAAGGCCATTTGCACGACAACGCCAGATCCCTCTGTCCTCCCAGGTTGAGGGCACGGCGCTGCTTGCCTGACCCGGACACGTGTGACAGCCTCGGCGACCCCTGACAGTGCTCAGCTGATATCGCAGGTCGGCACATCCGTTTTGTTTATGAGACAGCGATTGGCCTTATAAGCGGGGCTATATTTCATAGCCGGCGTCCCTGCACAAACATATCGCCCGTCCACCCTACAGAACGCGTGTCATGTGCCCATGTTCGATCAAGCGGTCGGGAATTATTCAAAGAGGTATTCTGAGCATAGCATTCGATCGCACCTGAAACATTTTCTACAGGCGTGATACATTGCACGACATCGATAGGGAGAACGTGCCATGTTGTTTTACGCCATGCAATGAAATCCATGTGCCCTGACAGCGCGTTACATTGCGTTTTCAGAGAAATTATTTAGGCTGCACTCACCCTTCATGAGATTTTACGTAGTTCTGTATATATATATATATATATATATATATATATATATATATATATATATGCATAAGGTTGGTACCAAAACCAAATCGTGTCCTTACATGGCGATTGGTAGTACCAACTTAGTACTACCAAACCCCATATAAGGACACAGGTTCTTTAAAACCTGTGGTTTTAGTCAGATAACGATTGGAGGCTGCTCAACGCGCCCAAAGATGACAAGCTTACCTTTCGGGTGTTGAATTTAACTTACGGTATGCCGACGCACCACAAGAAAGCCGACACCAAAACGCAGCCAGCTTTCAGTCGCTGTCAACTTTGCATTGATGGTGCAGACCAATGCTAGCTGTTGAAACGTGGTCTGCAATGTAAAAATTGATTTGGTGTTAATAATATCGTTATGCTGTGTACGTTTCAGTTCGTGGTTTGTATCGTGCCTAAGTCGGCAGACCTTTTGGTAACACTAGACAGGACCGGCCTCAAGGCACGATCAGAGCAGACCTGACCCGAGCCAGCACAGCGATCGGTCCCGCCCGAGCCAGCACAGCGGCCGGTCCCGCCCAAGCCAGTACAGCGGCCGGTCCCGCCCCGAACCAGCACAGCGATCGATCGCACCCGAGCCAGCGCAGCGGCCGGTCCCGCACGAACCAGCACAGCGATCGATCGCACCGGAGCCAGCGCAGCGGCCGGTCCCGCCCAAGCCAGCGCAGTGGTCGGTCCCGCCCAAGTCAGGGGGGCGGCTGGTCTTACCAGACCGGGCTGGTCCGGAGCTGGTCCAGCGGCCTGCCTCTCATCAGGGTCACCGCAATATAGCGAAGCCCCTGAGCCGGCCCAGCAGGCAGCGTCACTGGATCCAGCGCGGTTACCAGTCCCACGTGGTACCGACCCACGCCTGCTGCCCAACACAGCGCGACGGTCGGTCCTCACAGCTCCAGGACAGTGTCTGACCTCACTAGAGCCAGTACAGCGGCCACCTGTACCACCACAGACCATACGGCTCTGGCTGCTGGGGCTGGGCAGCGCCCGTTGGGACCGGCCGCTGGGGCCACCGGGCCCGCCAGTCAGCTCGAGGCCAGGCCACCA